CCGATTCTGAGTTTGATGACGGCTACGACGATGATTTGATGGGTGATGAGGAGGACCGCAAGCGCCTCAACGGCTTGTCTGAAAAGGAGCGTGAAACAGAGATCTTTAAGCGCATCGAGCAGCGCGATCTTATGCGCACCCGATGGGAGATCGAGAGGAAGTTGAAGCTCGCCCGTCGGAGCGAGAACGAGAAATCAAAAACAAAAGGGGATCGTGCCAAAAAGAAGTCCAAGAAGGACAAGCGCAACAAGAAGGCAAAGGACTTGGCGCCACCGGTGCCCGCTTCAACTGCCGCAGACCTGGATGCCAGCAAGATTAGTGCATTAGAGGCGCGGGCTTCGGCCAAGAGTCCCTCACCCATGCCCTCGATTCGCGAGGGCCCCTCGACGTCGGGATCTGTGTCGGGTGCCACCAGCAGCAGTGCCGAGAAGAGTTCCGAAGAGCAAAATGCCAACAATGTGGCTGACTATTTCGACCACAAAGAGCGGTCAAAGGAGCGCAAGAAGAATGTGGAAGCGAACAAAACTGACGACAAGCGCAGCAATGCGATGGCCATGCTCAAAGCCAAGCGAGAGGGAAAAGCTAAGAGAGGTGAGTACAAAATCATAATGAAATGAATATATAATGTGGAAACATTCGAATTTGCAGAGGAGGAGGAAGCGAAGCGTCTGGCCGAACGTGACAGAGATGATGACAAAGAGGAACTGGAGAGTGTGTCTGGCTGCAAATCGGCAGTCAAACTGAAAGCGTCTGAGATCTATTCCGATGACTCAGGCAGCAGCGACTGGGATGACGAAGAGAAGCCGGCGGGCAAGCGCTCTCGTTCAAACAGCAGCAAAGCGTCCAGCGACTCGGAAGACGACGAAAAGGCCGCAAAGAGTCCCGTGTTCATAACGACCCGAGAGGATCTGAACAAGCTGCGATTGTCTCGCTTCAAAATGGAGCGCTTCGTCAATCTGCCCATATTCGAGTGCACCGTGGTCAACTGCTTTGTGCGCATCAGCATCGGCAACAATGGCCAGAAGCCCGTCTATCGAGTAGCGGAGATCGTTGGCGTCGTGGAGACGGGCAAAATATACACACTTGGAACGACGCGCACCAATCGGGGACTGCGTCTCAAGCACGGCACTCAGGAGCGAGTTTTCCGCTTGGAGTTTATATCCAATCAGGAGTTCACTGAAACCGAGTTTAACAAATGGTACGAGGTCTGCCAGCAGCAGCATGTGCCCATGCCGACGATGGATCTGATCGAGATTAAGCAAAACGATATTAAGAAGGCGTTGAACTACGAGTTCAAGGACGAGGATGTGGACAAGATCGTCGAGGAGAAGAATCGCTTCCGTAATCGACCCACCAACTATGCCATGAAGAAGACCTGCCTCATGAAGGAGCGCGACGCGGCTATGCTGCGCGGCGACTACGACATTGCCAACGAACTGGGCCAGCAGATCGATCAGCTGGAGAGCCGCGCCTCCGAGCTGGACAAACGTCGCTCGCACAGTCTCAATTTGATTTCGTACATCAACGATCGCAATCGCAAGCGGAATGTGCAGGATGCCGAGAAGGCCATCATGGAGGAGGCGCGTGCCAACAAGGGCATGAAGATATCAGATCCATTCACGCGGCGCATTACTCAGCCGCGCATGGGCTTCAAGGGTGCCAAGAAGGATGAGGACGAGGTGCTGCCCGCCCCGCTGCCACCGCCGCCGCCAGGCAAAAAGAAACCGAATGAAACAAGCACATCCAATGCGAAGCCAGGCGATGGCAAGGACTACAGTTTATACTCGCTGCACGACTTTGACATAGACCTAGATGTACCGCTGCCAGGTAAGCTGACAACATCCGTTTAATTAGCTTGACTCTCACTAAATAATTCGCCTTCCAATTGCAGTGAATAGCACGAATGCTCTGCCCAAGCCGGCGAGCAAGCCAACCGAGACGGTGTCCAAGCGTTCACTGAACCTGGAAGATTACAAAAAGAAGCGCGGCCTCATCTAGCTGCACCGTTCAATTAATGACGTTCTTTACTTAGGTTAGTGCTGTTACGACTAATTAAACGTAATCGATTATTGTGACGATTGATTGGAGGAGGAAAGTTTTGTTAACGCTCTACTCCCCCCCGGCAGTGCGCAACTGAATCACCTATAGGCATAGTTTACGAATTGTATTGTATGTTTACGAATATATGTATATCGCTATGTACTGATATATAGAGAGCAGCATTCATAAACTTTTTCATTCAGGGTTCGCATCGTATATATATATATATATAGGACGAAATTACACACGAAATCGCACAGAGCTCAAATGCGTTTGCATTCCAAAATGAAAGTCAAAGTCCAAATCGAAGTCGAAGTCGAAGTCGAAGTTGGCAGTGAAGCAACCCGTCCCCAGTTGAGAGTTCTGCGTCTGCGATCTGTGTAACGACCATTGTTTATTTATTATTAACGATAGCAATTGTTGTCTTTGGTTGTTTGTCACTGTCTGTGTGAATAAATATAGTTTGTGAACGACAATTAGCTAAAGTAAAACGTAAACGAAACTCATTTAACAGCTATATTTATTGTATGATTACGATTAAGACATAGGATCTGATATGTATATCCCCCATTTAAATATATGAATATACATATATGTATATGATAAGTTCAACAATGTATTTATGGCCCAAAATCCCATATGTTTAGTAAATTAAGTACTATTTTTAAATTTTGCCTAATTCCGATAAAAATTTGACCATGCTCCTCACACGGCTAATGCGTCGGTTGTAAGCACTTAGCACTGTACTTATTTTAATTGAAATCAGTTATTGTAGTCGAGTTTACAAATAAAATACCAACCATACTCAACAAACATTTCAACATCCATCCGAAAATATATAAAAATGTAATTGCCCAACTGTACCAGAGTGAAAATGGGAATGGGATTGGGATTGGGTCGGGGATGATCGTAAATGGACCTCTATATAGCGCCACTTCGCAACGCATCGCAGCGGGTTAAGTCTTGTGGACGCCTCTTTTCGTTTTTAATTGGTTTGCAGTTTGTTTGCGCAGCTGTTTGGAGCCCCAGCATGTCCACGTCTAATTTAATTAATTCGATCAAATTGTCTTTTAATTGAACGCGATCGCATTTCAGATGTTTCGCGTGGAGTTCGACTGAGCTACATCAAGTTGTTAAAGGTCACGCTCGACTCGTATCGAGAGTCATCATCATGTGCATGTACATGTGCCTATGTATGTGTATCTATGTGGCCTGAATGGACACCACCAATCTGGGAGATACATAGAGTGTGGAATCTTTATGAAAATATTTACTTAATAATCAGCAGGAATCGCTCTCAAATATTTTACAATTTTGTTTATTTACTCCAACCAACATAAACCATAATTGAAATTTGGCCAAGTCTTATCGTATTATACTCTAGGCATGTGGAATACGCTGGAGTAGGCTGGTGTTGCAAATAGGTAGCGGCAAATTTCCTCGATATAATGAATCAGCATTATTAATCGAGTGTGACTGGTCTCTTCGTCTCCCTAAAATCATGGAGATCTTTATTATTGATTGTATATTTATATCTATTTATAAATATATTTAATAGTTACACATTTTCTGGTGTTAGACATTTTATAATATTAAACACTCTTCTTTTTTTAAGCATTGTAATATTTTTAATGATATTTTAACCAGCTCTTCGTCTCCCTAAAATCATGGAGATCTTTATTATTGATTGTATATTTATATCTATTTATAAATATATTTAATAGTTACACATTTTCTGGTGT